TTAAGAGATTTGAAAAGCTTTCACACTGCATTACACTATCGCTCTGCTGTTCATCGATTTGCTGGAGCGGGTGCCAGTAATGTCTCCATTTGTCCCAGTCCTGAGATTTTAGCAGCCTTTCCTTACTCTTCCTTCCCAACCCTGCTGTATTGGAGGCTTTTTCAGGGTCAGGGGAATGAAGCGTGTTTTTGTTATTGTTTTTGGCATATTGAATGCGCCACAGGGAACTTGCCAGGCTCTGCCATGTGGGCTGGATTCTATCAGCAGCTTGCTGGGCTCTCTGAGAAGGACGGAGGGTAAGCCCGTATATAGCATAATATAAGCAAGTATGTTAAAACCAGACACATGTGTGCTGCTTTATTGAGTAAAGCTTTATTGAGAAAAGCTTTATTGAGCAAAAATTTCCTCTACAGTCTACATTTCATGCTTCAAAGTTTTATTTCTCCTGCCCACTTAATTCAAAGACAATTCAACAATTTTGTTTATTTATTCATTTATTTGCTTGTGGGTAATAGCTAGCTGTATTCAGGATTTCCTCGTGGCTCTGTACTCAAGGATCACTCCTGGTGAGGCTCAAGACTAAATCGGGTTTCTGGGATCAAACTAGGGTCTCCCATGTGCATGGCAGGTGCCTTTTGCACTGTATTATCTCTTCTGTCTGAACTAAATTATTATAGAAACAATTTTCTATTTGCAACATGTTTCAGTTACATCAGTTTATATAATACCTGATTAAATTGTGTAAGTTGAGGAACAAATAGAATCAGCAAAAATACTAGGGAAACAAATACAATTGGCTCTTGGTAAGCAGATAGTTTAATTGAAAGTATGTGCTGTAGAGATGCTTATAGAGAAATCACTGGTTAATTTGGTGAGTTGATTACACTCACCAATAGAAATTTTAGAAAACTTCAATTGTACATTACTTTGTAGTGACAGAATAAGGTTTTAGAAAGTTTAACTTAAATGGAAACTGAATTTAGGCTATTTACTTTACATAATGTGTTATCCTTCAAGTCCTCGAGAGCACTTATGTAATTTTTATAAGTATATATAAATACATACTAACTTCTACTAAGCACAATGCAATGGTAATGCTCAATGTGTTGAACAGAAGGACTTTTTCCTTGTGGCAGAATTATGTTTTCTTATATAAAAAGAATGTCATATGCAGACTTGCATAGTCAACAGTCAGAAGTAATAAAGAATGGAGAAACCAAGTACAGTAACAAATAAATGGACTTATAGCAAAGAAACGCTTATTTATTAATTTTTAAAACTTAATACCACCTATGCTAACCTAAACACTTTGTTTGTAATAGGGAATTAAGTGATCTGATGACTGCATATCAGTTTTGGTAGATAAATAGTGTGTAAAGAAACATGTTATTTTCCCTAGTCTATTATCTTTTGTTTGTTGGGGAAAAGAAATATACAGTGGGGAGCTTGCACAAAATCTTTACTTATTCAATTCTGTTGTGTAAGAGGGGCTGATCGACACTACTTCCACTACCCAGCCATCGCCACACTTCAGGACATTTTCCGGACCCACGCGGCCGCTTTGCACATCATAAGACACATCATAAGACACTAAATACCCATCTTCCGGAATTATCATACCGTATTTGATAGGGTTCAAATATGGTAACACCTACAAGGGTGATTAGAGGTCGCCCCAAAAGCCTCTATCCCTCTCGGAAAGACTGGCAAGCTACCAAGAGTATTCCGCCCACACGGAAGAGCCTGGCAAGCTATCCGTTGTGTATTCGATATGCCAAAACCAGTAACTACAATTAGTCTTATTCACCTGACCCTGAAGGCTTCACCAACATGGCAGCACTGAGAAGGATGAGAAAGGAGAGGCCGACAAAATCTCAAGGCCAACCTAGGCTGCCACAACGAAGGAAGACAAAAATGATCGTCTGTACTTTCAATGCACGTACGCTAGCATCAGATGCATCCATCGAGGACCTGATGGTACAAGCGGGAATGATCAAGTACGACATCATTGGTCTGACCGAGACAAGAAGGCACGAATCTCACCATGCCGTTTTTGACACTGGAGAAGAATTGTTCCTTGGAACATGTGATAAAAGAGGTGTTGGAGGTGTCGGTGTCCTTGTCAACACAAACTTGGCCAAGAGCATTAATTCATTCGAATGCCTAACAACCAGAATCGGACGTTTACATTTGAATAGATGTGGCTCACTGCCTGCAGTTTCTGTCTTCGTTGTCTACGCACCAACATCTCATTATGATGAAAGAGAAATCGAGAAGTTCTACATGGAGCCAGAGAAGTTCTATAAAGAAGACCACACCTTCTACAAGATCATTGTGGGTGATTTTAATGCCAAGATAGGACCGAGAAGATCAGCTGAAGAACTTCACATCGGGACCCATGGCCTAGAATGGAACGAACAGGGTGAGAGACTGTCTGAGTTCATCATGTCGACCAAGACCATTCATGGTAACTCACAGTTCCAGAAGGCAGAATCTAAACGATGGACATGGGAGTCTCCCGGTGGACGATTCCACAACGAAATAGACCACATCATATTCAATCGACGGTTTTGCCTGACTGATGTCGCTGTTGTCCCAAAATTTCGAACGGGATCGGACCACCGTCTCCTTCGTGCAAAATTCTACTTCACAGAGCGGGGAGAAAGGGCTGCAAAGTTCAAAAAGAGAACTCCCAGAATGACCACCAACTGGGAACTCTTTGGTACTATTGCGGCAACATGGGAAGATGCCATTGTTGACAACATTGACGAGGAATACGATCGACTGGTTCAGCACCTCCATGAATGTGCGAGGAACGCCAAGAGAGAGATAGCCATAAAAAAAGCCTGTCTTCGAAAACTCTTGAGCTAATTCGCCAGCGTGGTTTGGCGCATGCCTCAGGCAGCTGCAAGCTAACCTCCGAGCTCGCAAAGCAGTGCAGAGATGCGATTAAGGAAGACCTCAAAGAGAGAAGAGCAGAAGTACTGGTAGATGCAGCAGAAGCCAGGAAAAGTATTCGTAACGCCCGCCTGTCCTTCGCCAACTACAAGACCAAGATGACTGCCCTCCGACGTCCTGATGGATCCATCACATCCTCCAGAATGGCAATGGAGAAGATTATCCATGACTTCTACTCAAATCTCTTCGATAGCCATGCCCACTTGCCGACATACCAAATTCCACAGGATGGATATGTCGTTCCCAAGGTTCTCCCTTCTAAAATCCGACACGCCATTTCGTCGGTAAAGAAACAAACAGCACCCGGCCCAGACAAGGTCAGACCTGAACACCTGAAGAACCTGCCGTCAGTACTCATCAATACACTGGCTCGGCTCTTCACTCGCTACCTGTCTGAATGCAAGGTTCCATCCCAATGGAAAACCAGCAGGACCGTACTACTGTTCAAGAAGGGAGACATCCATGACATTGGCAACTATCGCCCGATCTGCCTATTGTCTGTCATCTACAAGTTGTTCACTCGAGTCATCCTAAATAGGATTGGCAGAACACTAGATGAAGGACAACCATGCGAGCAAGCCGGGTTCCGCAAAGGATTCAGCACCATCGACCATATCCACACGATAACCAAGCTCATTGAGGTTTCTCGGGAGTTCAAGATGCCGCTCTGTTTAACGTTCATTGATTTAAAGAAGGCCTTTGATTCTGTTGAGACGGAAGCGGTCATTGAAGCCCTAGCCAATCAGGGCATTCAAGCCCAATACATCAGGATCCTCTGTGAGCTGTATTGCAGATTCACTACCAGGATCTCACCATTCTACAAAGAAGTGATCATTGATGTCAAGAGAGGGGTGCGGCAGGGTGATACCATTTCACCGAAACTCTTCAGTGCCACCCTCGAGAACATCATGTGACGACTGGAATGGGAAGGAATGGGAGTGAAGATAGATGGTCGGCAACTACACCACCTCCGCTTTGCTGATGACATTGTTTTAATAACACCAAACATCAACCAAGCGGCACAAATGCTGGCCGACTTTGACCGTGAGTGTGGAAAGGTAGGACTAACAGCTGAATCTTACGAACACAGTGTTTATGAGAAACAGCCTCGTTCCTGATGCCCCATTCGCTCTCAATGGAACGACCATCTCCGAATGCAACAGCTATGTGTACCTAGGTCGAGAGGTCAACATGACAAATGACCTGGCACCCAAGCTGCGCAGGAGGAAGAGAGCGGCTTGGAAAGCCTTCAAGAACGTCGAAGAAATAGCTAAGAGGACGAAGAACCTCCAGCTCCGGGCACATCTCTTTGATTCCACTGTTCTTCCTGCATTAACATATGCCTCAGAGACCTGGGCCCTACGCAAACAGGATGAGAACGCTATTCAGGTCTCCCAAAGAAGAATAGAAAGAGCTATGTTTGGAATATCACGTTTCACTCAAATGAGAGAAAGAATCCGGAGTTCTGACATCCGTCGACGATCAAGAATCAGGGACGCTGTCTCATTTGCCAAGGTGTCGAAAATCAGATGGGCTGGTCACGTAATGAGATTTAAAGATGACCGCTGGACTAGAGCTGTTACTGACTGGATTCCACGGGATGTCAAAAGACTGCGTGGCCGCCCACCTACCAGATGGTCAGACTTCTTCGTCAAGATCATGAACGATCTGTTTGAGGCCCTTCATGTTCCTGGAGCGAACAGATGCCATTGGGTTACACTAGCACGCGACAGGGACAAATGGAGACGTTACTGGCACCCGCTCGAGCAAATCGACGACTAACGGGAAGTTAAGTGATAATCACTTAAGTGATTAAGTGATTATCTTTTGTTATTATTCCATATCTGAGGGAAAACATCTGGTAATTGTCTTTCACTTTCTTACTTATTTCACTTAGTAAAGTCACCAGCTCATAATTCCTCACCTCAAATCCCATAAATATTTTTCCCAAGGGCACAGTTCCATTTCCCCACATTTCTCTTCTGTGTTTGTAGCTGTGATAACTGGAGGTTTATACACATTTACTTGCAAACTTTCTTTTAAAAAATAAGAAATGCTTCATGAATTTGCATGTCACCTTTGTGCAGGGCCCATGCTAATCTTCTCTGTACTGACCCAGTTTTAGTATATGTACTGCTGAGCACAGGAGCTAGGGCGTTTGCCTTGCACGCAGCCAACCAGGCTGAGCCAGGTTCGATTTCTCCGGTCCTCTCGGAGAGCCCAGCAAGCTACCGAGAGTATCTCGCCTGCACGGCAAAGCCTGGCAAGCCACCCATGATGTATTCGATATGCCAGACACAGTAACTATGAGTCTCACAGTGGAGATGTCACTGGGTCCGCCAGCACTTGCGCACTTGCACACTTCCTTGTGGTACTGAGAACCCAAATGACTCAGTTTTACCACTAGGATCTCACATATGTGCACGTGTGTGTGCGTGCATGCACGTGCATATATTGGGGGTGATAGTGTCAGGGATTGAACTTGCTTGTAGGGCAGATACTCTGCCATCGACCTATTCCTGGGTCCCAGATTTTTTTAAAAATTTATTTTATTATTATTGTTATTTGCTCGAGCGGGCCCAGTAACGTCTCCATCGGAGACTTTGTTGTTACTGTGTCTGGCATATCGAGTACGTCACGGGGAGCTTGCCAGGCTCTGCCATGCGGGCGAGATCCTCTCGGTAGCTTGCCGGGCTCTCCGGGAGGGGCGGAGGAATCGAACTCGGGTCGGCCACGTTGGCTGCGTGCAAGGCAAACGCCCTACCCACTGTGCTTTGGGTCACACCCAGCAATGCTCAAGGATTACTCCTGGCTCTGCACTCAGGAATTCCTCCTGGCGGTGCTGGGGGACCATATGGGATGCTGGAAATCGAACCTGGCTCGGCGGTGTGCAAGGCAAACGCCCTACCCGCTGTGCTATTGCTCCAACCACACTGGGTCCCAGTTTTATCTTTTCTAATGTGGGTATTCCACTGAGTATATATGCACAGCCTTTGAATTCTGTTAGCTGTGGATGGGCATTTAGGTTGATTCCACCTTTTGGCTATTGTGAATAATGATGCTATGAACACAAGTAAGCTTTCAAATTAGTGTTTTCATACCATTCAGATATCAGCATCAGGGATTGTATTTATGGTTCATATAGAATTTTTATTTTTGCTGTTTTAAGAAATGTCTTACTCACTTTTTCATGAAGGATCCTTTTTCTCTGCAGTCCCATTAAAACCATGTCATTTTCAGTCTTTTTTATTTGGCCATTCTTAAAGGTCATGATCACGATCACGACCATCCTGTTATTCGTCAGTTGCCTCAAGCAGGCCCTAGTAATGTCTCCTTCGTCCTAGCCCTGAGATTTTTAAAAAAGTGCCATATTCAAGGCTCTTTCAGAGTTAGGAGAATGAGACCCATCATTGTTACTGGTATTTGGCATATTGGGTACGTCACGGGGAGCTTGACAGACTCTGCGTGTGGGCAGGTTACATTCGGTAGCCTGCTAGTTTGTCCAAAGTAGGAATGAGATAATAAGATGTCGCGCGGCCACTAATTCTTAAAGGTGTGAGGTGTTATATAGAAGAGATGCTGAGGTATTTTATGTTTTGTTTTGTTTTGTCTATGGACAATCTGTTTGCTTTGGATAGGTGTCTTTTCATGTGCTTTGTCCATTTTTCACTGGGCTGCTTGATTTTTGTTAAGATATGTGAGTGTTTTTATGACGGGGAAAGAAGGGGACTTCTCAAGCCATCTTCAGAAGTTCAAGTGACCCCTTCCGGCAATTCTTGGTCAACCAAGACAGCCGTTCGTTGTGAAGGCTTGAGGAAGCAATGCTGTGCAGCCCCTGCTTCTGCCAGAAGATCACGTGGACTGTCCATGCAGTACTTCAGCTTCCAGAGTCACACCTGTTGGTGCTTGAGAGACTCCAGAGCTACACCTGCCAGTGCTCTGAGGATCTTTTAGCATGGGAATTGAATCAGTGTTGCTGCGTGTTAACCAGGTGCCATCACCCCTATACTATCTCTTCAATTTCGATACCTATGAATTAATACACAGTAATTACTAATTATGTATTAATTTATATATTATGAATTAATATATGTTGAAATCACCTGAACATATGATGTGCAAAAATATTCTCTCAATTGCTAGGTAGCTTATTTTTGGTTGCTATGGCAGTTTATTTCGCTGTGTAAAAGCTTTTTAATTTGATGCACTTCTGTTCTCTTATTTTATTTCATTTCCCTTGCCAGTGAAGTTGAGTCTCCAAGTGCATATCTGAGATTAAGGTCTTGGAATGCATTATCTGCGAATTTTGCTATGTAGTCTATGGTTTCAGATCTAATGTCCAAGTCTTTGACTTATTTTTAGTTAAAAAATAAGATCACATTAATGACCATGGTTCAGAGAATCACAAATAAATCTCAGAAGAGAGCCACAAGATGCAGAGATGCCTCCAGGCAGCAAAGTAACCTCCCAGTTAAAAATTTAACTCCAGCTCTATCACCCAATTTAAAATTTAGAAATCATGGAGCGTGCAGCTGCATTTGGTGACATCTCATTCTCTACGCCACTGAGGTACCAGGAATATAGTACACCACATTTGATGGGATGTAAAGTAGAAGGCAACCAATCTTGATATATATATATCACAATCACGACCATCCTGTTGTTCGTCGATTGCCTCGAGCAGGCACCAGTAATGTCTCCTTCATCCTAGCCCAGAGATTCAAGGCTCTTTCAGGGTTAGGAGAATGAGACCCATCATTGTTACTGGTATTTGGCATATTGGTTATGCCACGAGGAGTTTACCAGACTCTGCTGTGTGGGCAGGTTGCGTTTGGTAGCCTGCCAGTTTGTCCAAAGTAAAAATGAGATAATAAGATGTCGCGCAGCCGCAAATGCGGCCACGCGCTTCTGGGATCTGGGTTTTATATTCTGTGGGTCTTGGCCGTTGATGGGATTACATGGCGCCAAGGGGCCAGTTGGTGGATATATATATATATATATATATATATATATATATATATATATATAAGCACACATGGCTCAACCTGTAACAACATGTTAGTAATCTCTTATACAGGAGCTTGATGTCTCCAGGGTCAGATACAACAATCTTCACACACTTTCCTCTAAGAAAAATTTTGGGGATAATTTTTAGTGGTTTTTCATAACAAGTAATGCAAAATAAATATTTAGCATCTGTCTTTGGGGCAGGCTTGGGTAGTGGTGTGAAAATTCATAATAACGGGGGTGGGAAGGTATAATGGTGGTGGGATTGGTGTTGGACTGTAGCACTGTAGCACTGTCCTCCTGTTGTTCATCGATTTGCTTGAACGGGCCCAGTAACATCTCCATTGTGAGACTTATTGTTACTGTGTTTGGCATAAGGAATATGTTACGGGTAGCTTGCCTGGCTTTGCCATGCGGGCGAGATACTCTCGGTAGCTTGCCGGGCTCTCCGAGAGGGGCGAAGGAATTGAACTCAGGTCGACTGGGTTGGCTGAGTGCGAGGCAAACACCCTACCCACTGTGCTATCACTCAGTGGGTGTTGGACTATTGAATGTAATAAATTATTGTTAACAATGTTATAAAAACAAAAATTTAAAAACTTGAGCTTTATTTTGTGTATGGTGTTAAGTAGTGATTCAATTTCTTGTTTTCTTTATGTGGCTTAGTTTTTGTAGAACTATTGTTAAAATAGTTAAAATAAAAAAACAGGGCTGGAGCGATAGCACAGTGGTAGGGCGTTTGCCTTGCACGTAGCCAACATGGCCAACCCGAGTTCGATTCTTCCGCCCCTCTTGGAGAGCCCGACAAGCTACTGAGAGTATCTCGCCCGCACGGCAGAGCCTGGCAAGCTCCCTGTGACATATTCGATATGCCAAACACAGTAACAACAAAGTCTCCAATGGAGACGTTACTGGGCCCGCTCGAGCAAATCGATGATCAACGGGAGGGCCTTTACCTTTTACCTTTTATTGTTAAAATGTTTTTCTTCTTCACTGTGTGATTTTACTTAATTATTTTGGGGGTCTGTTGTGATTTAAATTTTTTTTCTATTTTAAAGTAGTTCACAATATTTGATTACATTTAACATTCAAACACGAATCCCAGCACCATTCCACCATTCCACTTTCCTACCACCATATTTCAGGTGTTTCCATGCCAAACCCCAATCCCTGCCCTAAAGCAGAACTGAAATAATATAATATTTCCCTCTAAGGTTGGTTGCCTTCTACTTTGAATTCCATCAAATGTAGTGCAGTACTCTTGGACTATGGGTAGGGTGTGTCCTATGGCAAATGCAGCCTCTCGGTCCAGGGAAAGATTCACTCGCGGGTGAGGCTTGGCCCGAGCATGTGGAGAGCGGCCATGAGCAGGGTGGCAGTTGAGTTCTGGAGGTTTTCGGCTGCCAGGACTGGGTTTCTTGGCGCAGGGAGGGGCCTCACCTGGCTCCTTCTGGGGCACCCCTAGTGAAACAGCCTGGCACGGGTCCAGAGGCATGGTTATGGTGAGCGTCATGTTGCTCCCTTCCGGGAGAGAAGAACATGTGATCTGGATAGTGGCCAATGGTGAGATTGTCAGATGTGGTCAAATTTCAGAGCTGTTCTATTTTCTTGAAAAATGCCTTTTTTAAATTGTTGATTGTGGAGAACTCTTCTAAAGGTGCACAGGCCTCCAGGACCAGTTACTCCAGATGGTATTTGAGGGGGAGATAGTGAAAGGGATTGACCTCGTCATTGTGTCCAGAAGCTATTTACTCTTGTACACAGGCCACATCCTTGGCCCTTTGATAGAGACTGCACTGAAATCATTTTTAATATATTCAGTCTGTTGTAGCATTACTTGTTTTTCCCCTGACATTGATCATTTATGTTTTGTTTCCTTTTCTTTACTATTTGTGTTTATAAATCTTTTTCTCTGAAAGCTCAGCCTGCATTATTTGATTCTGATATTTTGATTTTTATATCTCTTCCAATCTTTTTTCTCTCTAATTTAGAATTTATTAGATTCCTTCCCTTTTCCTAGTTTGTTTGAGGTAAAAAACTAAAACTCTTGCTTTGAGACCTTTTAGTATGTGTAGTATAGGCGTTTTGTAAATAATTTCCTTCTAAGTACTCAATTCATAGTAGTCTACAAATTTTG